CAAGTGACTGGCAGTGTGGGATGGAGTTTAAGAGTGTAGACCTTCAGAGATGCCCAAGTTCACCTCTTGAGTACCCTACTTTGACTTTTTACAATTCACCTTTCCTGTGCTTCAATTTCTTTACCTAAATGAGGATATTGTACAGCACTACTTCAACTTCATAGTTGAGAAGATTAAATGATGTTAATGCACTGTGAAACACTTCAAAAGTGCATGGTATATTGTGAACAGGTGCTGCTTATCATTGCTGTTGATTAAGTGTGAAATGGGGGTGTGTTCAGAAGTAGTAGAACTTAGTTTTATATATATATATATGAATGCTGGAAAGGGAACCCTCTGATTCCTGGTTCTCAGCATAGACTCTAGTGTCTGCAGAGGTCTCTAATTAAAGAAGTATTAGCCTTTTAAATTTGTGTCAAATGAGCAAAAGTCTAAACAAACCCTGAGAAGTATTAAATAATACATGCACATATGCAATGGAGTAGTGAAGACAATACATAATATTAAGGGTTACTAGATATCTAAGTCTTTTTATTAAAGTAGATAAAAACTATTTAAGGGCTAGGATTGTAGCTCAGTGGTAGAGTGCTTGCCTAACATGCACAAAACCCCTGGGTTGCATCCCTAGTACTACAAAATAAACTGTTCAGAATATGTGCATGAAATAGATTAAGTAGCCATTGACTTTTGCATGTAAGCACACTTAGTTGGATTATATTAGGTTTAAATAGTACACTAGGTTTTCATGTAATTTACACAGGCCATCTGGGCTGTTTAAAATAATCAGATACTAGACTACAAAATAATATGTTCTCTGTTTTGACTTTCAGTTAAGGCTTCTAGGAAAAGGAAAGTGGGCTGGTGACTGACTGGGGAGTTAATAGAGCTTATGAGACAATATTTTTGGTTAAAGATAAAGGTTGGAAATATGTGGACAAGGTGGTGTAAATGTGCTCTGGAAAATAGGCAAGAAAGCCAGGCCTGGTGATCTGCATCTGTAGTCCTAGCTACTCACAAGGTGGGATAATCACTTGAGCTCAGGAGTTCATACTAACCTGAAAACAGTGAAGCCCTCACAAAACAACAACAACAACAACAACAACAACAAGACCAAGTGTGCACTATAGGGAAATGTATAGGTGAGTATGTCTTTTCTGATTTTTATAAGGACACATGCCATTGAGTTCAGGACCCACCCTAATCCAGGATGATCTCATCTTGACATTCTTAATTACATCTGCTAAGACCCTTATTCCAAATAATGTCACCTTCTGTAGTTTCAGGGTGAACAGATCTTTTAGGACCACAATTTGGCCCACTGATCCATGGGGTAGACATGCAATATTGCTGCCTGTTAATATGTTGTCTGTTTCAGTTCTTTCCAACTTTTTGCTTATACAAAGATCACAGCTCTACTTAAGACACATGTACTGTGTTCACTAGTGAAAATGACAGGATTAGAGGCCATGACTAATGTGATAGAGTGCCTGCCTAGCAAGTCCTAAGCCTGAGTTCAAATTCAGTACCAGTAAAAATTAAAAAAAAGAACCAGTGAAAATGGTAATACTATTTTTGGAGAAGGGGTGTTTTCTTGGGATTTATGGCATTAGCAGTGAGAACAGTTTCCTCTTATAACATCCTGCCAGGATATGGACCAGAAAGATTCAATCATTTTTTAATACACCTAGTAATATGTGACATAAATGAAAAAAATTAGACAATTCAACCAATTCCTTCAAGTCTGAAAGGACAGAAAAAGGTGAAAAATGAACTATGCACAGAATACCAAGATCTCACAGAGAAGACAATGTACTGACAGTCTTATCTTTTCTGTGGTGCTATTTCATCCCACACAGACCTGTTGGTGCTTTTTTCCAGGTTGGCAGCTGATGAAGGTAGGGACCTGAGCTATAATAGAGCTTTATGTGCAGTGAGGGCAAGAGCTCACCTTGTATCCAGTGGAGCCAATTTGTGAAAGAATGAGCTTTTTCTAGTCTCAGGCTTAATGGTCTCTGCATTTTGCTATTTGTCCTTGACTCCCAGCTCCTACCACTCAATGCCTCATGTTCTCTTTTGCTGAGTTCTGTGGGACCAACTGTGGTCCCACAGTATTATCCCACAACTATTGTCATCATTTTAAGTCTCAGATCCATTTGTTAAGTGGGGATAATAATAATTTAATTTCAGAGATTTGATATAAGAAGTAAATGAAATAATGCTCAGAATGCCCTTAGTAAAGCATTTGGCATATAGAAAGTGCTTGTTATCAGAGAATTTAAAAAAGAAATATGCAAATATCAAGATTAACTTTTCCTGAGTGAGTGACAGAAATTATCCTACCTTTTTTTCAAACAAGTGTGGCTCAACATTTTAGGTGATCACTATAATTATTATATTGAATAATATCCCACAGCACAAAAGCTCATAAAAGAAGATAGACACCTGGTAACTGGAATGTGTTGGAGGTGGGGGTACTTCGTTTAAAAGACCTTTAAAACACAGCATGGATTGGATGTCACTTTCTCCATCTGCATAAAGGGGCCTCAAGAGAAACAGAACAAATAGGAAATACCTATTATGCACCTATGTATTTAGATAAAGATATAAAGTGGTTTATTTATTTTTGCAGTGCTGGGGATCAAACCTAGGACCTTGCACATGCTAGGGAAGCACTCCACCTCTGAGCTACACTCCCATCCCTTGAGATTCATTACAAGGATTATATCATTATGGAGACGGAGAAGCCCTAAGATCTACAGTAGGCAGGCTGGAGACGTAGAAGAGTTGATGGTGTAAGTTCTAGTCCAAAGGCAGGAGAAGAGCAAGGTCTGAGCTTAAACAGCCAGGCAGGTAGAAATCCCCTCCTACTCAGACTTTTTGTTCCATTTTGTTACTCATTTGATTGGGTGAGGTCCCTCCACATTAAGGAAGGCTGCTTAACTTGGTCTACAAATTCAAATGTATTTCACCTAGAAACACCCAGATGTTTGACCAATCCCTGGATACTCTGTGGCCCAATTAAACTCATACATAAAACTAGATACCTTAGGGACTAGAAAGTAAGTCCTTTCGCCTTTCCGGCCTAGTTCAGGGAGGAAAGCGTAGGACTGGAGGTGGGAATGGAAGGAATGATAATAGACCTGGGATGCCACAGGTCAATAAAGTACACTTTTTACTCTAAGGCCATGTCAGTCTTCTCAGCCTGCCAACACAAAATACCACAGACTGGGCAGCTTAAAGAGCAGAAATTTATTTCTGGAGGCTGGGAGTCAAGGTCAAGTACAGAAAGTCTGTTTCTCCTGAGGCCTGTCCTATGTGTGCATATGGCCACCTTCTCTCTGTGTCTTCGCTTAGCCTTCCTTCTGTGTGAATGCATTCCTGAGGTCTCTTCCTCTTATAAGGACACCAGTCCTATTGGATTAGGATCCCACCCTTCTGACCTCATTTAACTTAAATCTTAAAGGGCCCATTTTCAAATATGGTTACATTGTGGGTTGGGTGGGGACACAATTCGATATACAACAACCAACCTTCTTTTTATCTCCCTAGAATGAAAAGACTCAGTATTTATGGAGTATTATATATGCCATAGCTTTCCCCCACCTAGGTAAAGATGAGATGTTCAAGGATATTATAATGAAGTGAAATTGAATGCCATTGTTATTATTACTATTGTCATAACTTTATCCTGTGACATTAAGAGCCTGTTCATAATATATTTGGTGATTTACAAAGAGAACTTGAAAAATCAACTTATTCATGTTTTCAATTCAGTCATGTTTTCTGAACCCTCTGATGCACTAGACCAGATACTTTTTCTGGTGTGGGGAAAGGGGAATGAGCAATACAACCCCTGCCTTCCAGGTGTTGTAGTTTTATAGGAGGGCTGGAACACATGCACACGCACACACCCACCCCTATAATACAAAGTTGATGAAATAGTGAAAAGTAGCTGGGCACCAGTGGCTCACATCTGTGATCCTAGCTAATCAGGAGAACCATGGTTCGAAGCCAGCCCAGGCAAATAGTTTGCAAGGCCCTATCTTGAAAAACTCTTCACAAAAATAGGGCTGGTGGAGTGGCTCAAGGTGAAGGCCCTAAGTTCAAGCCCTGGAACCACACACACACACACAAAATTGAAAAATAAATGCTATAGAAAAAGTAGAATATGCTATGGGGGTTTGGAAGAGAAACGTGGAACAAATAATTGTTACGCTTTATTGAGCATTTGCTATGAGCTTGGCATAATTAGCTTAATCATGAGTCTTAATTTTCAGGATCTCGCATTATAACTTCAACTGATAACTTAGTAAGAATGCTATCAGAAGGGCAAAGCATTGTGTTCAATACTTTTGGTTGCAAAGATGATTAAAACATGTTCTATCCTTAAGAGACTCATAAATAATAAAATATATGAATGGATGGCCAGCAGAACAAATTGTTACATAGATAAGGAAAAAGCTGTTTTCATTCTCTACTTGTCAGAGATTGGCACCTAGGAGTGGAAGGGAAGGTGAATCTCTAGATATGCTCTTGGAAACTTTGGTCAAAGCAGCTCTATGTGGCAGAATCTTAAGAAAGAGCTGTGCAGTCAGTAGTGACTGTGTTCAGCTGCCTGAGGAAGTGCCAGAAAACAGAAGCTAGATTACACTTTCAGCATGAAGTGAGATCAAGGAACAAGAACTATATCCAGCCCAGTCCAGCTTAGAAGTAGAGCCAGTTTAATAACGTGACCCACATCTAAAGTGGTCCAGGGCCAGGTGCATCTCCCCTGCCCTCCCCCAATTAGAGTGAGTAAGAGGAATTCCCTTGCCCTTCAATATCACTTGTGGCTACAAAGATAACCACAGTTCTGGTGAACATAGGAGAAGTGATGCAGACACATTTGGAGCTAAAAGTAGGAAGAGATCAAGTAGGAATGGATCAAGGAGAGAGATTCGAGAATAGTGGCAAGGGAGGTACACAGTGTAGTGAAAACTGATAAGTAAGTACTGCTGAGCACCAGGAGCTCTATGTCTGTGGGCATTGGAAGCAGATGCAGGCTTCCAGAGCGGAGCACAACTTGCCCAAGTACACACAGAACAAGCAACAGACCAGCGAGACTTGCCCTTGGTCCTGCTTGCTCTCCTGGATTGAGGTGACTGAAGTCAAGGAAACCAGTGCTTTCCTTGCTGGCAACAAGAAGAGGATGGAAGCTTGGGAGAAATGAACGGTTTGTCTCTGTGTTCACATTGCTTTCGTGAGCAGCCAGAATTATAATCACTGATCTCAGAGTGGATGTGGAGGATGTGTGTTACACGTGCGCTTTGGCACTAGGATTGCCTCCCCCGCCCAGAGCCCAGGAACCCAACAGCGCACTTCTCAACCGTGAAGCAACCAGGGCGGGCCGGAGGATCCTGGCCGGAGATTTGAGCCGCTGATCGGCGGGGAAGTGTCTTTGTGACCTGCTCCGTCCCTCCCCTCCCCGGGCACTGTGATGCCGCCCGGCAGCTGCTGGCCCGGTCTGTCTGTCCCCGGGCACCCTCCCGCCCAGTGTGTCACAACAGCGGAGGCGGCGGTATCTGGAGCAGTTGGGGTGGGCAGGCCCAGCTGGGAGGCGAGCGGGCGAGGCGAGCGGCAGCGATGGTGAGCTTTTCCTGGCTGGGGTGGGGGTGGCGGTGCGCAGCAGGTGCCCTGATAAGAGCTGTGTGTATGCGGGCGGTGGAGGGGGTTCGAAGAACTCGAAGTTTAGGGGTCGAGGGGTGTCAGTTTAGGGTCTCGGGGCTCACACCTTTTTACGGGACAGGTCGCACCCGGGGCCATTCCACTTATCTTGGGAGGGGGGCGAGTCGTCCCTTAAAGGGGACCTATGGAAGATTTGCGGAGGCAGATGAGAGTGGGGAAGACATGGGGAGCCTGGTGGAGAAGCGACTGACATTCTGGGGGGAACTCCGGTTGGACAGCTTGTGGGATTCCAGACAGGTAGGGGCGGCAGTGGCGGAAGGGAGGAGGAGATGCAGTTAAGTCCCCAAACCTAACAAAATGTGTTTGGGCCCCAGAATGTGACAATGGACTTAGGGCGTCACAGGTCCTCCACGTCTGGGTTATGCTCCGCTCGCATCCTCAGGCCATTCGCTTGGGTTTGGGGTGCCCACAACTATAGCGCGGCCGGGGGCTGTGGCATCACTAACTTCCCGGGCGCCTGGCACCTTGTCAACTTACCAGTTTTTCCCGAGGTCAAAGTCAGACGGGCTTTGGCACTAGCAGTCTTCCTTCCCAAAGGGGACCTCAGCCTTCTCGTTTTGTTTTCTATCCTGGCTTACCGGACTCAGTGGCCCAGCTCCTTTCCTCGCCCCTGCGTCTATCTCCATTGGCAGCTCCCGACCCCATTGCTGGACAGGGCTCTTTTAAGTTGGGTAGTTCCACTCTGTACAAACTCTTCCTCCCTCCCACTCCCACGGTGGCTAAAATTCGCCCCCAATCCACTTCCCGAAACCCCCAGGAATCTTTCCCAGAGCCCCGATCTGGAAAGGTGGGTCGGAAATGGTGGTGGTGGAGCGTGGGGGCAGAATAAGCAAGGTCAGGTTCTCTGTGCACTCTTGCTCCAGGTGTCAGTGACACCAGGATAGGCGAGAACCTCTCCCCTCCCTCTGTCATTTGGGAAAGTGCCCAGGGCTTTCTGGCTCTGGCCCTAACGCTACTGCTTCTAGCTCCAGGTCTGTCCAGCTCCCTCCTCCTTCCCCAACATGTTCCCAGACACACCTGGAAGCTTGAAGAATTTGGGAACATAGGGGATAGTGGCCAGAGGAACCTATTTCTGCCTGAGACCCCTGGTGTGGGATCATAAAAGGAGCCCAGAGCTGAGAGTTCAGAATTTTGGCTCTTGGCTCTATAACTAGCTGTGTGACTGTCACTTCAATACTTCGCTTAACCTCTTTGGAGTGATTCTTCTCATGTACAAATGAAGAGGGGTTACAGTTCAAAAACTGCCAGGGCTCCACATAGATTTTATTACTTTAAAGTTAAAATTTTTAAACATATTCAAGAAAGGAAGTAGTATAATGAGCTTTTTTTTTTTTATGAACCCTGTCCTAGGATATAATAAGCTTGTTTATATGCATCAGCCAGTTTCAGCAATCACCAACTATGACCAGTCCTGCTTCATTTTTTTCCCTTTCCATTATTTTGAAGCAAATCTCAGGCTAAATACTCTAGAATTCATATTTAGTAATTATAATATCCATCACATAGCTATTGCTTGGCAAGTGCTTTTCCTTGCATGTTTTAATTTTGATCTGAATGTTGTAGTTTCTCTTAGATTGGAACCTAAAGGAAGCATACAGGGTGACCAAGGGTAATCATAATAGCCATCATAGTCCACCTCTTGAGCAAACTTCTATGTGTATTCCATAGGGGAGTTTCTGAAAATACTTGTTAAATCAAAAACTTAACATAGTAAAACTTTGTTTCAAATGTGCTTAGCAGTTTTGAAAACCCAGTGGTTGAATATTTTCAATGGGGAAGATCTTTTCTTTTGAAACACTGAGCTTTGTGTACTAGGTTCTATTGAGAACATTTCCTTGTCTTAATGGGCAAACATTTTTACTGAACATTTCCCATTCACAGAACCTCTTATTAAATTTTTTGTGACTCATTCCTTTTCTTCTTCTCCTCCTCTTCTTCTCTAGGGGTGCTGGGATGGAACCCAGGGCCTCAAGCATGCTAGACAAGTGCTCTATTCCTGAGCCTCATGGTCCTGCCCCTGATTCTTAAGAGGCTAGAATGATATATCTATAAACCTTGATCCCAAGAATTCCACTGTCCCTCACAGAAACATCTTTACTTCCTCCAGCAGTTAAGTTTTAGACAGCTGTTGCCCATATTTCCCTTTTCTCACAGGAGACGGAGGCACCTCCTTCGTGTTAAGCAGCATTTCACACATATTTTAAAATGCATTCCTCCAGTTACTCCAGGTGGACATTTTTCTATGTGGCTTACCCCTTCTCCCCAGTCATCTGCACACCCTACCACCAGTACACTTTAGCATTTTCAGACTGGAGCCTCAAGTTACGCAGCTGGTAAGAAGACTAGAACTTAAATCCACTCATTCCCAAAGCCTCTCTTCTTAACCATCAAATCTGACAGGCTGATCTTATAACCCAGCATCCCATCCCATCTGCTCTCTGTGTGCTTGCAGTAAGCAGCCTCCTGGGAACTGAGTCTATGACACATTTTTTGGGAAGGAATATGCAGAATCCTAGCCAGGTACCCCAAGCTGAGCCCACGTAAATGATACCAGGGCAGAGAGAGTTTCTGCTCTGGAAGTGGGGTGGGTCCTGCCATCTGCCCAGGGATGCCAGGCACAACTGAGCTCTTCAGGGTGGATAGTACTTTCTGACCTTGGAGCACTGTGTGGGGTTCCCCAGGGGCTTCAGGTCACTGTTGCATCCTCCCTTTCCATCGCTAAGTGAAGATTTTTCCCAGAAGTCATCAGGTACCTGCTTCTGAGTGAGGAGCCTTGATTAACAAGAGCAGTAGCTGGGGGCAAAGCAGTTGAGGAAGTGAGAGTGAATGGCCAGTTTTGATAGGAACCTTCCTGGCTCAGGTCAGGTCCATGCAGAGCCTAGGGTAGGGGTTGTGGTGTTAATGCTGTTGGGGAATCTCCTTGGTGAGAGGGCTCCTGAGTGGCCTTGAAAGGAAGATGAAAAGTTAAACATAACTTTTCAGGAGGAAATAGCTGGTGAATGCAAGGCCAGGGATGGGGGTGGATGCAGGATGTGGTATTCTTTGGAGGAGGAAGTGGATCAACTGCTCCTTTTTCCTTGGGTCACCAAAGGACTGACAACACTGTGGCCTCTGTGGTTGGCATTTCTCTCATCAGAATTTCTCCCAGATAGTGAGCTGTGGAAGAGAATGGGAAAATGCAATGGCAGTGTGTGTATCATATCAAAACTCCTGAACTATGGTTTGCATTTGCCCCTAATGAAAAAAAAAAAAAAGAGCCCAGGGCCTTCTGCCCTTACTGCAGGGCCTATAATCTGAGCCCCTCTCCTGAGCTGCTTTTTTTGCTGATGTTAATTTAGGTTGCCTCTGTGTTCTTTCTGTTTCTGGTTTGCTATCTATTCTTTGTTCCCAGTGATTCCAAATACACTGTAATTGAAGTGTCTGAGTAGAGATAATTCAAACAGTTTTTCATGAGTCACATTTGTTCTTACTTTAATTATCCCTCTGGAACACAGTGGATCTACTTTTCACTTGCCATCCCTGACCTAGGTCCTAAAATATATGTGATTCATTATTTAGTCTACTTGTCAGATTAGTCTGACAAGTAGAAATAATTTGGTGTCATAACAGGCTTCCTGAAGGCAACTGTGTGTTATTTGAGCACACAGGTAGTCAGGGGACAGTGGATAGGTCTCAAGTGTCCATACAGTATACATTGTTGACCCACATCAGTTCTTTTCCTCGATAACGTCACTTTTGCTGTTTTATGATTCTTTAAAATGATTTTTAAAGCTTCAGAGCTTTCTTTACTGAGGAGAGTGATTAGCTTTTCTTAGTCCTCTGATAACAAAGCAGAAGGGAGTGGATACTAAAATGGAGAGAAATATATTAAGTAGGATTGGCAGTGGAATTCTTAAAGGGCTGCAAAGTTCTAGAAATTACTTTTCTGAAATTCTGAAAAGCGTCTGGTTTATTCTCCATGGACAATGGTAATAGGGAGCACAGGTGTCCTATCTGTTCTGCCCTTCACAGGCCTATGCTGTGGACAATCTGGGTAGTTGTGGGATATGTCCTAAATTCTCCTGCCTCTTGTTCACACTGCTCTGAAACCCGCTTAAAATCCCCTAGGTTATCTTGGCATGTCTGAATTCTTCAGGGTCCCTGTGGTTATTTCTCCTTTAGGAAACCAAGCTAACATTTGTCTTTTCTCTTCTGAACTTTCATTGTACTAAATCTTTTGCTAAGTGGGCCGTAAGCCCAGGGAGGAGGCTCATTCTAATTCCTGTATTTCTTGAGCACTGCACTTGGTGCTGGGGATTAAATTATTTGTCCCCACAGAGCTTACTTTCTGTACTAGGAAAGCCAGACAACTGAGGAGGCAACTATAATCTGGTGTGATAAATGTAATGATGGAGATGAAGGGGATTGTGGGAGCACACAGCTTGGGGCCTTATGCTGTGTTGGTCTGTGGTTGTCCAAACTTCTGCCTGAAGGGAATAACATTTAACT